TCACCTCCGGGGCAGGCGGGAATCGAACTCATGCGGAAGTGGTTTTAACTTCTCAGTGCTGTGCTTTAACCCGCTGCGCCACCAGGGAGGGCCTTATATGCCTTTTTTAAAATGACAAAATTGTTCCAAAATGTTGCTTATGATTATGGATGATTTTTTTTCTTCTATGCTTTCTGTATTTTCCTACAATATATGTATATTATTTTTATAATTAGAAAAATAAATAGCTAATATAATTAGAAAAAAACTATTAGGTCCAAATTTTATGCCAGAGTAATAAAATAAGGAGTTACCAAAATGACTCAGTCATTCTATATAGAGTCTTGATACTTCCACATAATTTCATTGATGTTATCTTTATTTGTCCTATTGCAAAGGCTCTTTACATAAAAAGGCACTCGTTAAATGCATTACTTAAAAACAAGATGATCCATAAAAATTAATAAAAAAATTTCCAACCTTGGCATCTAAAATATCCACATCATGTTCCTCTATTCCAAAGGACTTGGATACTTCTTGAGAAATGATGGAGATCAGTTTTTGAAATTTAGTATTGGTATTCAAAATAAGTTCCCACACATGAGAGCCTAGGAGCTGTAAAACTTCCCTACACTATTTATGGCACACATTTTGATAACCTCTGCTGAAGGTGATAGCTGATGAAGCTAGTGTTACGGCATTGACATACTGAGAGTTTTATATCTAATATGGTTGCCCTTTTCAAAAAGGAATATTTAGGTTATCTCTAGAAGTGAACCTAATCTAATTTTGATGCCTGTGCTACTTGGATTTTATCTTTGTAATTTCCTATAAATACATTTGGCAAGTTTTACATTGACTACATTTTTAATGACTCCTAGATGGGAAATAATGACTGAATTTCCCCAAGAAAGAAGTTCCATCAGCTTGGTTAGCCTGGCGGGATCCCTATATGCCATCGGAGGGTTTGCCATGATTCAACTAGAAACTAAAGAGTTTGCGCCCACTGAAGTCAATGACATATGGAAGTAAGTTTTATCCAGTCCAACTTTCTGAACCAATATTAAATTAGATAATTGATAAACAAATTTGAAGTAAGTAATATACCATACTTTCCTTGATCGCCACAGATTAGTGGTTCTAAACTTTGGTATGCACTTGAGTGCCTGTTATGAACACAGATTGCTGGGCCTCACCCCCAGAATTCAATAGGTCTGAGGTGAGACCTAGGAATCTGTATACGAAACAAGTATTCAGTGCAATTGTCACTGTTTGTGGGAAACACTGCAAATTATTGGTTCTCAAACTTGTGTACATATTGGAACATGAAAATATTGATGCATGGACTCCACCCCCAGAAATTTACTTAATTGGTATAGAGTATGGCCTCCTGCCAAAGCAACCTGTTGAACTCAATAAGGAACTAGAGTGGCTAGTATTCTTCGGTGTTTCGCAGTCCTGGTTGCAATTAGAATCAACTGGGAAGGTTTTAGGGGTAAATTCACAAGCATTCCCTACCTCCAAAATTTTTATTTAAATGGTCTTCATAAAGACACTGGGCTGTGTGTGTGTGTGTGTGTATGTGACACACTAGTATCAAATATATATACCAATATCAAATATATATATCATATATAAATATATATCATATATAAATATGTATATATCCATCAGTATCAAATATAAATATATATTTGATAATGGTATATTCTAAAAGCATGCTAGACAATTATGTATAGTCAGAGTTGAGAATCACTACTTATTCACTTTTGGTACTTATCCCTGTTTTCCAAAAATCCTAGTCTTTCCAGTCTTCCATTATTTTATCCTTTTTCCTTGTAATTTTTCTTGAAATCATTGCATTATTTAGAAATGGGCAAAGTGATAGTAAAAATTTAACTGCCATGAATCAAATGCTTTCATCTCATTAATCATTACTCTTTTATTGATTAAAATGCGGTCACTTCTCCATGAGGTCATTTAAACCTTTTTCTCTTAATTTGTTGTCCCACATTTTGTATAGATAATCTAGGTTCTTTATTAGTGGTAAAATCCTTTTTGTTTACTTTTCTCTACATAAATATCACTCAGTACATTGTATAACTGTTGAGGAGAATTTGTACCATTTATGAAATTATTCTACTAGCAAGTGAATCCTGAGTAAGAGTAGGGTTTTCTCAAATATCCACATTTGTATGTTTAACACAGGGAAACCTATATATCTATCTACTTACAAATTGCTTATTGATATTTTTTTTCTCTTACCAGGTATGAAGATGATAAAAAAGAATGGGCTGGGATGTTGAAGGAAATACGTTATGCATCAGGAGCTAGTTGTCTAGCAACACGTTTAAATCTCTTCAAACTGTCTAAACTATAATCAAGAAAGTGAAAACCATAATAAATTATGAGGAAATGTGTTTGGATAATAGGGTTTTAATTTATTCTTTTTTTTAAGTCTATAAAGAGTTTCATGTAGAAATTATTGAGTTGTCCCAACTTAGTGGGACAACATTGAATTTTCAATGTAATAATCAGGGCTGAAAACCATTTCTAACAGGAAATATGTTAAATTGAACAGATTATTTTGTTAATCTCTCATTCAATTATTTGTAAAGAAAACTCTAAATTTGAGTCTTACTAACCCTTTCTTTTGCATTGTTGGGTACCTTTTAAAGAATGAAATAAGTACATCATTGTTTTTAAAAATGCTTAAAATAGCAAAACCTTCCCTCATATTTGGAGATATTACAAGAACCCTGTGTATTAAAGATTTTGTGCCATGAGAACTTTGGAAATGCCTTTTTTTTAATGATTTATTTATTTATTTATGCATACAGAACTGGGGCACAGGCCAGAAGTGGGGGGGGGGGTGAGGGCATGTACCAGAGTCAGAATGGAGAGCAGAACTGCTGAGGGGAGCAGCAGGTAAGAGAGGAGAGGTCTGCTACAAGATGTGGGTCACTTCCAAGGCCAAGGATAGAACTTGCACTGAAGCAGTTGCTGATAGCTTTGCAGTTCTGCACTTTAACCTGTTGCACCACCAGAGAGGGCCTTTGGAAATGGTATTTAAAGGAGTCTAGTAAATGGGTCTCATTTGAAAGGGAAAAGTCTAAATAGTCAAATTCAAGTGGTCTTTTTCTGTTTTGTGTGTGTGTGTGTGTGTGTGTGTGTCTATGACATGAATATAATTTTATTTAGGTTTTTTTTTTTAAACCAGTAAATGACAATCTTCATGCCTACAGTATCTATGATGTTCAGAAGGATGGGCAGTATTTAAAACATAGATTTGTTTCTTAAACTACTCAGGTATAAGTTGGGGCAATTGGGAGGTATAGAGAAAGGTATGTATTCTTTGGTTAAGTTTTATCTGTACTCTCTTTGAAAGAGCTACCTATGGTGACTATTTTCTGGGATGTGAGATTCTACATTCAAACTCTTGTTCTCAGTTTATATATAGCAAGATGACTCAGTTTGTTCACAACCATCACATTCAACTCTGCAAGTCATCAACTAATCATGGCTTCTGGGTGTCATTGCACTTTCACAGATCTATTTGACCTCTACTTTTTTTTTTTTTTCAAGCAAATGATACAGTATTTTAAAAGATTTATTTATTTATGCTTACAGAACTGGGTACAGGCCAGAGGTGTGGTGGGTGAGAGGATTCATCAGAGACAGAGTAGGGAGCAGAACAGGCAGACTGACAAAAAATGTATACTGCTGAGGGGAGCAGCGGGTGGGTCAGGAGAGTTGACCTCTACTTTTATACATGTAACATTTTGGGAAACTTGACTTGGAAGTACTTTGGAGTATTCTATGATTACTTGTCAGGCAATTACATGAAAAAAATGAGTGTTTATATGGAAAAATTTAACAAAATTCAGTTTTACTTTAGATTTTTTTTAAGTAGAATCCCAATTACTTTTCTGTGTTGAGAAATATCACTGTGAATTATACCATGACTACACAATCAGCAAATCTTGAAGATGGGAAACTTTTCAACAGATAAATTAGTAGAGAAAGGATACAAAGAGATCATAGATTAAGACAAACTTAAAAAAGCTGTGTGTATGGAAGGAGTTTGTGTCTTAAGACACAAACTTGGATGATAAAACTGTAGAAGAAAGTGCTTACTATTACTGCAATATAATGATTAATTTCAGGAAGAGTGCTGATATATGTAGAGGATCATTAAATTGTGAAAATAATTTTGAGATGATGAAAATTTTCTTAAGTTAGACAGCAATGATTCTGGTTTCATAACCCAATAAATATACTAAAAAACACTTTTCCAGGCATTGATTTTATAGTATATGAATTATATCTCAATTTTTTAAAAACCAATGCTTTTGTCTATAAGTTTAAAAAAAAAATTGCCAAATAAAAATACAATAGAGAAAAGCATTTTAGTCAAGCAGCCCAGAAATTGGAGAATAATAGCATGTGTAACAATAAATGAAAGGTAAAGTCAGTGTCATTTATTCAGGATCCCCATGTACTCAAAGTATATAATAACTGTTTTCACTTATATTAAAAGGAAACAGTTTATAATCCTTTTCAGTCTAATAATAATTTATTCTAAAAGATGCACAGTAAAATATTTCAATTTACTCAGGGGATTATTTCTTGTAATCAGTTGTTTGGGAAGTCAAACACAATCATAACAAATTTAGCCCATCAGCTAATACAAATGAGTATTATGAGGAAATTCACAATAAGGAAGATTTACTATCTAACTTACTGTTCTAATTCTGTTTTTTACAAGTTTCTGTGAAGTTCACATTCTGTAAAATCATTAAGTTCTGGAGCTCAAGTCATGCAAAGTAATTAATTATTAAAAAAAGTACATCAACTAAGCCTAAACCATCAGTGGAGAAAATCACATGTAGGACACCTTTTAAAGGTAGGCTGAAAACTCAAGGTATTTTAGCTACCAACCTAAATTTGGGACAGAATGAATTTAGAGGGTTATGGAGTTAGAAGACAGCAAGTTTCAGATGAACAATTACCTGCATCCCTACCAGATGGCCTTAAAGTATTTACATTGAGGCTTTTGGCTAAACACACATACATACTGCTCTTCATAGAGAAGAGATTGTATAGGATCAGATCAGGTCCACTTCCCCCTCAGTTTCTCCCCATTCCTTGTTTCCATTTATAAGAAAACTCATTTCTCCTCTCATTTTCTCTGGCAACATTAGCACTTTCAAACCCACTGCTCACCAAAAGTAATCTTCAGGGTTACAATGATTTCCATGTTGCTAAATTTAACATTTTCAAGGCCTCATCATACCTGACCTTCAACATCATCTGATCCCTTATTCCATATTTCATATTCAGTCAGTAAGCTAATTCTATTGCTTCTGCCTTGAAAACCCACTATGGCGAGTCTTTCCCAGATTAAAATTAAAACTGCCTAGAATGCTGCTATTCCTTTTCCTGAATGTTTCCCCATAGTATTTAAGATCAGGTTTTATTCATTTTATTTGACTCTACTGATAGAAAATAAATTGTATTCACTGCTGTATCCCCAACATCTAAAACAGTTCCTGGCACACAGTATGCACTCATAGAATGAATTGTAAACTATTTAAGTTTCTTGAAAGCTACACATCTTTTATATTAAAAAATTTTACACAATTTTCAAGCCAGATCTCCTATTATAAAATGTTTAATAGATATTCCGTTGATCCTGAAAATCAGTCAATTTACAATACTATATTTCATTTGATTCAGGCTACCTCATTAAAATAAGTTTATTTGTGTTACATGATAACTGATTTTGAATAACAACTAATATCATGATTTGCCTTCTCCAAATATACGTTCTCTCAGGTAGTCCATGCGAGCATCCTTTGTTGACAATGTCATAGAGTTCCATTCAAAATGAGGGATCTGTAAAATAGGTAATGTAGTTTGAATAGAAGTTTTAAAGCAGTAACAAAAACACTAGAAAAGACATATGAGCACCATTAAGCAGAGCTAAAGGAGCCTTATGAAATTATTTCACATAGCAGAGCTTTTGAACCCATTACAGAAGCCAGATCAATCCCTTCTTCATGAGAAAGCCTAGGCTTTTTGGACACAGCTCCTTTTATCCTTCTAATCTTTAGTAGCAAGCACAGACATTTTTTTTCCTTATGTACCTTTCCTACATTCATAACTTAACCTTTTTCTTTTAGATCACTATCCATCTTCACAGTGCCTCTTTCTGGTAAAACAAATATACAAGACAACAGATCTTCTAGAAACAATAAAAGAATTGGTAGTTTTTGTTTGCCACTCTTCTCCAGAAATGGAGGATATTCTTTTTCAGAGACATTTTAATAGCATTTTGTTTAATACTAAGAAGATAATTCTATAACTTTGCCATTAAAAGGAAACACATAAATCCAGTGTTTCTGGGTTTCTTAGAGGGCAAACTATGAGTATTTCATACCTGAATTACATGATAGCCCAAAATTTCCAAATGTCGTTTTTTCATAGCAGATTTCCCTTTTAAATGAGGAATGTTTCCACAAAAAGCTCTTGAATCCAAAAATTCCAAAGCAATTCTACATAAGATAAAAAAATATAATATTTACATCTGAATTCAAAATGAGCAACTGAATAATTATAATAATTTCAGAAACAAGGTTGCATTATTATAAACTAGCACATCAAACATATATAAATCAGTATGACAAGTTATTTTCCCACTTAAATTAGTAAGTGATGACAAGACTATCCATTAGTGGAATTACACCAAATTGTGTAAAATTGTATCTCCATGCTTTCATCCATTTTTTCTTTATCCAATATATATTTATTATGAACGAACCATAAGTAAGGTACTGTGAGGGGCACAGAGTATGAAGTGACAAAGCTTATGTTCCAACGGAGAACATATGATATAGAGTAACTGTAACAGCATAGGAAGTAGCTGAGTGCTATCAGGAAAGCAGAGGTATGAGGGTTCTGAAAAAGATACCATTTTCCTTTTAGCACTTTAGTTAAACACTATTCTAGGCTTGAGACAAGGAAAGACAGACATTTAGTCAGAAGGCACAGGAAAAGCAAAGGTACAATGGTAAAATGCATGAGATATATGAAAAACAGATTCAATTACACTCAATCCTTGCTTACCAAGTTCATCAAATTATGCCAAATTTAACATTTAAGTAACAAAATCTGAAACTAAGAAGTTACCTTTCAGCTCCTGGTGGCAGCCTTGATCCATCTATTTGGGTATTTAATTCCCAGTGCATTTCTGGCAGTTTTCCCAGAGTTATATTTTGGTTCCCATAAGGAAGAGGTTTTTTTCTTTTATCCAAGGTAAATTCAAAATCTACAAGCAAGGACGAGAACCAACAGCATGAATTAAATAAATTCTTACAGGTTAAAGTTTAAGATATACTCTAAATAAACATACAAATGTATGCATGAAAGCACGATATACTTCCCTAATTATCTAACTTAGTTTGTAAGATCTGGTCCAATGTATCTCTTTTTGAAAACCAATTAATAAAAATCAGTAAGTATTATTAAACTGTAGTTAGCATGGAGATGTAGTTAGCATTGGGCTAGGCCAAATCGCATTAACGAGATTTATTTTAATCACCTTAAATTTCTTGGTCATTTCTGGAGGAAGACAAGCCAACTCTGAAAACTATTAAAGACAAAAATTCAAAAAGGTATTCTGTCTTTCATACATAACGTGTATAGAAATGTAAATAATATGGAAAGTTCTTTTTAGACAAATTCCAGCTAATGAGTACAAAAGGAATGACAGAGGTAGACTATCACTACTTTGTTACCTCTGATGAATGATAGATTTAGGTAATGATTTTACTGGCTGATAAATTCAGTGGTTGAAAACTGATTGGAGAACTTTCAAATTGATGAATTGACGACTTCCAAACCTGCGATGAATCATAATGTAAAAAGAAGACAACCAATACTGGTGTTTTCCGATGTGATGCAGTAAGAATGTACCACCTATGAAATAGTTTGACAAAAAAAAAAACCTAGTATAATGGAATAAACTTGAGATCTATTGGTTTACAGTAAAAATGGGATACAAGAGCATGTTAAATGTTAAATACTGCAATTGGAAAAGTCCAGAATGTTAAAAAACTTTTTTTCATAAACTGTAAAAGAAAAAAAGGTAGAACTTTTAAAAAACATATCAACCAAATGTAATTTTTGAATACCAATTTTAATAAACTATAAAATAATAAAAGAAAATTGATACATTTGAACAATGATCAGCTATGTGACATTAAGGAATTAATGAGAATGACTATGGTACTGTATATATATATATATATTTATTTATTTTTAGACATTCTTTTAGATATATATCCTGAAATGATATAAACCTGTGATTTTCTTCAGAACAATCAGTTGGGACTCTAGTAAAGGATGTTGGTACTGGATGAGCTATTTATTATTCTCTCTACTTTTTTTTTTATGTTTGAAGCCTTTCATAATAAACATAATCATCAAAATTTTTAAACAACACAAAAAGAAACAACGAATTAATGAGATGATTCTATTTAAATTATTGATCTTCTAAAAGTAGTTAATAACCTACCAAAAACTTACCAACGGTGTGGAAATAAGGTGTAAGAACTGAGGCTTTTACACAATTGTTTCCTCCCAGTAGTTCTGCTAACATTTTATATATCTGCTGTTGTGCACCATTCATGCTGCCAACATCTTTATGAAGATAAAAATCGTTTGTTCACTTAAAATCAGTTTGAGTGAAAATCATCCCAATTTTATAAGCTAAAAAATAAAGATACTTCCAACAAGAGCTTCACTGTAATACAATACACAATAACACAAAATTCAGCATAAGACATTTGCTCTCTACTGAAAGGGATTTCACATCTTAAATATTAAAAAATTCTCATAATGCAAATATTAACAGCTACAAAATGGTTCCATTAAATAGGTCTTTGGGAATTCTCAGGCCATAGTTAGCTTTAACATAACAATGTACTACCTAACAATTTACTTTATTGGTAGAATTAAACTTCACTATCTCACCTTTATTATACTGTTGTTGACAAAAGCGGTCATGAAACCATGGAATCTGATACTCAGGGCATTCCAAGTAGACTGCTCTATTTAATTCCATAAGACGATACTGGACCCTCATACTTAGAGATGAACATAAAACTGAAATCAAAAATAAAATATTAATAGGTATAAATAGCCTGACTTAGAAAATACAATCCACTTTTTCACATCCATTTCTCCTTATTATTTGTTGCTATTTTTATTTTCACCTAATAAAGCAATTCCATTTTAAATTATTTTAAATTATTACATCTAGACTCGTAATTAGGAACGACTCCTAATTTGTTTTCACTAATTATAAATGTAAAAACTACATTAAAAAATTATATCAAATACTTTTCATTTAGGAATCTATTCTAAGGAAACAAAGATGAGATTAATGATCCCCATAGGACAATCATTATTAATAATGAAGAATTGGAATAATCTACAAGATAAATTTTGTAAACACTAAAAAAAATCATGATCAAAAAAATAGTGGCATAGAAAATTGTTTAAAGGTAAAAGGCAACCAATATATAACTCAAATTTTATTTTAAAATACAGATCTATAAACATACACATAAGAGTAGGAGAGATACAGAAAAGAATGACACTGAAAGTAGTAATTTCTTTCAATAGTAAGATTATAAGTAATCTTTTGTTTTCTACTTTGTATGTTCATTTCATGTGTTTTCCCAAGAAATTCTTCTCTAAACTTTGTTACCAATTAAATACTTCAGTCTAGGTAGAGCTGAAACTTGCATATGAAATAAAGGTGATAATTTAGTAAATTAATGTAAATACTTACGTGCAAGCTGAGAATCCAATTTGGCCAAGAACTGGATGTTAAAAATTGCCTTTAGTAGATGTTCTGGAAAATATTCAAGTGTGGCCAACGAGAAACCAAGAAACACTAACATGAGGGGATCTAATTTGCCTAAAACAAAATTAAGATTTTTTTTAAATTATAATGATAGCCATCTTACATAAATATAAGCACATACTTCATAAAGTAAAACTAGGTTTTTAAAAAATAGTGCTGATACATCCTCAACAAAACTAAATTATACTGGTAGTTACCTGTTGGGTGGCGGGGCAGGATGGAAAAGATAGACAGGGAGAAGGGTAATGTTGTTTCTTGGTTTGGGTTCTGAGCCTTTGAGTGTTTTAATTTGTATAAACTCATACTCTATACTAAAGATATATGGATGTTTCTGTATTACTATATTTCCACAAAGATTTTTAAAATCACCTTGGAAAGGAATGAATCTGGCCCTCCCTGGTGGTGCAACGTGTTAAAGCACAGCACTATGAAGCTGTTGGCAGCCACTGCAGCACAAATTCAAACCCCCAGCCAGGAAGATGACCCACATGAAATGGCAGCCCTCTCCTGACCTGCCTGCTACTCCCCTCAGCAGTGTATTTCAGTGGATCAGACTGTTCTGTTCCCCACTCTGTCTCTGGTGGATCCTCTCACGCCCTATACCTCTGTTTTGTATGCATAAATAAATAAATTTTTAAAAGGAAAAAAAAGGGAATGAATTAAAAATGGAAGTTCAATAGACTGTAAAAAGGGTATGTGATCCTAGTCTCTATGCATTGCTGATAATAATGGTGTTAGTGATCATAAGCATTGGATATGTATGAAGTTATTTATATCATAATCTGTGAATCGCTGATAATAATGTTAGTTATCATAAGCATTTTCCATGTATGAGCTTATTTATATCTTAACCTAGCATACAGTAGGACTGTTATCTTTACTTTATATAGAAGTAAAGAGAAGTGAAATGACTTGCCTAAAGTCACACTGTGAACAAATGCAGGGTGAGCCAACATGACAGCCCAGCTCCAGAGCCTGGGTCACTATGTAGCACTGCTCTCTAGGGAGCTCAGACAGTTCACAAAGCTGAGTTGTACACATGCGTGAAGCTCAGATTTCACCTGGCACCTCTTCCCTTACCTGTCACCCAGCAGCATGGCCCATATCCCAGAGGTTATTTAGCAGACTTGCCTCATCTAAGAGGAATTTGAACTGGGAAGAAAGGGGTCATCTATAGGCAGCAATATTCTGACAAAAGACATTAAGTCTTTTCTCTTAGGTATTTGCTGTCTATTTAACAAAGCAAGATCAAGTCATAAGGACAAAAGTGACAATTTCTATCAGCAAAACTGATACCAACGCTAGTATTTATTTTTTCAAAAAGGAAATCATTAGTCTCCAAGAATTTTCCAAATAGTCTTTTAGTAAATCTTTGAAAAGCCAAAGCTGTACTTCGCAGCGTTTATTCTCTAATGTGTTTCATTTTTAAAAAAGGAATGCAACTAAACCTCTTTTTGAAGGACATGAGAAGCGATATATTCTCATTTCCTCTGGTTGTTGACACACAACTGAACTACTAGGAGAGCACACTCTTAAGTTTTAGTTTCAAGTTTTCCCTTTCCATATATAACTGTGTTCCCAAAAGGGGTATATGATGTCACACATGCACATACCCACACACATGTAAAACATATCATAGCAATTCACTTTAAGTGGTTTATTAGCAGACACAGTAGCATCAGGCATGGCTAAATGCTATCTGTCCAATAAGAGCCACAAAAATGTAGCAGAAAATGAGCATGATACTGATAATAATGAATATATTTATTCTTGGCCTCACACCAGCCTAACTAAAGGTTATAGGTCTATGATAACATACCCTAATTGAAAGCCTATCCTGACAATGGATACTTTTAGTATCTGTGACTTAGTGGACAGTGGAATGGGCAACTCTAATTCAACAGGCATAACAAAAAGCTCTCAGAAAACTTGTCTCTGGCTGTCTTTCCACCCAGACCTGCTACTGAACTTAGTCTTCTCACTGCATTCTTGCCATACTGAAATGGCTGTTCCTGGAAGAAACCAGGAATGTTCCTTTCTCAGGGTCCTGTGCACTTTTTTGGGAACTGTCCTGGGATTCTCTTTCCCTGCTGACATTGCTCACTGGCCCTCACTTCATCCAGTCCATGGTCAAATGATATATCCTCAGAGAGGCATTAGGATTGCCTTATCTAAACAGCACTCTATCCCACTCACCACCCACCTCTCCCACACACTTACTTACCACCACCTAATCTTAAATATTTGTTTACTGTTTATGTCAGTCTCCACCCAGCAGAAAATAAGCTCAATGATGATACAGTCTATCTGTTTTTATACTTCCCAATATCTCCAGTGACTAGCCAATGAGTACCTGGGGCATACTGACTGAAAAGGCAGTAACTACTAAGCAGATACCTCACTTATAAAACTTCCACATCATCCTCACAAATAAGAGGTGTGGGTTTGAAAAGAGAAGCCCCACAAAACACTACTCACTGAAGGCCAAAAATTCCCAAATGCCATTCAGGACCCAAAGTAAAGTATAATAAGGAAAAAAGTGTAATTTTCTGCCTCTGTTATCCTCAACTATTATTTCTAAGGTCATCAGTAAGAAGGGTTACTTGTTTCTTCCAGCACTGAAAAACTAAAGATTTTTTTAAAGAGAGGCATAATAATCAGCACCAGGGCAGCAATCTTTCCCACAACTAATAAAGGCCCTTAAAAATAGTTGTTTTCTTTAAAATATACTAAGCATCTCTGATGTGATAGAAATAGGAAGTACTCAGCACCACATATAAACCACTTTTGCTGAAAACATCTACTCTGTATATAATCAAACATCTAGTTTACTAGAAATGTAGGAAATAGAGGAGCAAGTTCAAATAAAGTAATCAGACAAATCGAAACTGTGGCACAATCCACAATAAATGGCCATCTTTCTTCTTAAAAAACAAAACAAAAAAACACACCCATGCGAATGAACCACACCAAAAGACCAGAAACAAAAGGTGCTGGAGATGACATAGAGTAAAAGGAACTCTCTTACAATGTTGGTGGGAATGTAGACTGGTCCAGCCCCTGTAGAACACAGTATGGAGATTAAACATGGACCTGCCATACAACCCAGCAATTTTACTCCTAAGTATTCACCTGATGAACACAAAAGCACGAAATCAAAGGGTAACACACATTCTTATGTTCCTACAACCAAGTTACAGAAACAATCTAGGCCTAAATACAGCTGACTGGAGCCAGAAGATGTGGTAAATATACACAATGGGACGCTACTCAGCTATCAAAAATGTAAATTCTTGCTATGTGCAGCAACATAGTTGTAGCTAGAAGAGATTATACTAAGAAAAGCAAATCAGATGGTAAAAAATATGGAATAGTGTCACTTAACAAAGGCTCAAATAAAGCCAAATTAAGAAGCAAATATAGAAAGTGGACGATAGAACTGAGCTACAGAGTGGGAGGTGTGAGAACAAAGGGCAGTGAAAACAACAGACTATGGTGGAGGACTGGGAATGTTTTGATGATGAGTGCAGTATGGTAACAATACCTGAGGGGGAAGGTCCTATACTCCTAAAACATAATGTAAACCAATGTTATTCATTAAATATGAGAAATAAAATTTAAAAAGAAGACAAGGAAAAGTGATATAATACCTAATGTTAGTTTGATTCAAAAAGTGATAAAAGACAATTTGGTGGCAAATGGAAAAGTTTGATTAATGGAAGAGATTTAAACTTGGAAAGAGATTAGCTTTTTTTTTAAGATTTATTTATTTGTACATACAGGACTGGGGTACAAGCCAGAGGTGGAGAGGTGGTGAGAGGATTCACCAGAGACAGAGTGGGGAGCAGAACAGGCCAACTGACAAGTGCACTGCTGAGCAGAAGGTCAGGAAAGGTCTGCGGCGCCATGTGGGTCACCTCCAGGGCAGTGGCTTTAGCTTCTTAGTGCTGTGCTATAACCCAATGCGCCACCACAGAGGGTCCCCGGTAAGAGATTAGAGTCTAGATTAACTTTCTTAGGTGTGACAATAGTAGTGTGGTGACACATAAATTATTCTTAGAGTGGTTTGCCTAAGTAATTAGAGGTGAAGGGTTATAATGCCAATAACCTATTTTCAAATAACTCAGAAAGAAGAGATGAAGAGATATAAACGGTAGAAGCAAGTGTCACAAAATGTTGACTATTGAATCTACCCAGTGAGCATGTGTTTCTTACTCAATTCTTTCCATTTTTTTAAATAGGTTCGATATTTTTCTTAATAATAGTTTCAACAATAGATACAAAATTTTTTTTAAGTGTAAAACTCATTATTATTGTGGTCACCATTTAAATAAAAAATATGGAGGGCCTCCCTGATGGCATAGAGGTTAAAGTCTCAGCATTATCTCCAGCCACTGCGGCATGAATTCAATCCCCGGCTAGGGAGCTGACCCACATGGTGTAGCAGAACTTTCCTGATGCTCATGCTGCTCCCCCTAGCAGTGTATTTCAATGGATCTTCCTGCTCTGCTCCCCACACTGTCTCTGGGTGAGTCCTCTCAACCCCTTCACCTCTGACCTAATCCCCAGTTTTTATATGCATTAACAAATAAAAATTAAAAATTTTAAAAAGTACAGTATTCTTAAAAACAAATAAATAAATAATATCTCATGGCACAGCAATGTATTATGAAACAATATACCTACTCAAATAAGAATTCAGGTGTTGAATGCAAGTTCCAAAAAATTCATCCCTTTGTGGTGGGTCATAGTTCAATGTGCTGAATGGAAGAATAACAGCAAGGACTGCAAAAGGATGGATCTGTATAAATAGATAAACAATGTATAAATTTCACCAAATTTTAACCTAATTATTATTTTAGATGCAATCTTTTTCTAATATGCCTATTGTTAAATTATAAATACATAACTGTTTCAGATGAATTTTTCTACCATCTTTCTCTACTTAGCCCTACCACAATTTTTGGCATCTTCATGTGCTAGTGAGAAAAAAATAAATCAGAAAACCTACAAATTACTTGTTAGATATGAAATATGGTTCCAAAATTCGTTAGTCATTAAAAGGAATAGGTATTAGTATCACTTAATTTCTGCATTATCAGTGCATTTCATAGTCTCATAATAAGAATCTTAATTTGTAGACAACAAAATATATCTTTCATTCATCCATCTTTTATCTAATTTATCTAATACCTAATGATTCCCAGTCACCATGTTAACCAAATAATACTTTTATTTCTGTTTGTGAGAACTATCCTCCAACTAAAAGCCTTATCCTGACAAATACAATATATTTTGTGAGCATCTTCTCACATAATCCAAAAGGCAGCATTTTATAGTGCAGAAATAAATTCATAAAAAGACACACTAAAATTTTAAGAACACTTAAATTCAGTGGACAGATACCTTGTAATTTTCTCCATTTTTCACATTTAACTCATACTTTTAAATACTAAAAATAATATCAAAGAATAATAGAAAATAATAAAAGGAAAAAACAAAACTGATTCACATCTTACAATCCTAATACAACTAGGGTTGTTTTCAGTATTTCCTTCTACTCGATAAATCTTGACTAATGAACCAAAGGATGACTGCTAATCTGACCAAAAGGAAGAAGCATTAGGTAGAGGAATAGTAAACTGCTGAACCAGAAGGGAGAGCTTAATTTTTAAACTTTCAATTCTGATCAAGTCCTCTAAGTACTTATAATAAACATTTGTTCCTTTTGGAGTCAACAATGATCTAAAACTAATGTGTGCTATTTCCACTTTACCTTTTTAATATGCTGAATGACCACTGAGGCTATCCTATCAAGTAGCAAAGGACTGAGGTAGTTTGTTCTAGAAATAAAAGATGCAATCCCAGTAACATTTTCGTAATCAATTTCATCCATCATACTCTGTAAAGCAGCAACTGCTTCTTCAAGAAGTGATTCAGAAAACCAGTCTCCTTTCGTTAAAGTTTTAAGTTCTTCCCATAACAGATTCAAATTGTTACATTTTCTTAATCTCTGATGACCATAATGATCTAATTTTTGAAGTAGTTTCAACTGCTTCCCAGTAACACTATCCAGACACATGTGATCATACTGAATCCATCTTAAAACAGATGTAGCAAGAATGTTCAGGTCATTTAGGTCACACTGTGGTAAAATAGCCTCAATTTGTGATAACCCAGTTTTATCCAGGTAAGGAGGAGGAAGCATGGAAATAGTGCAGACCAAGGTGGTAATCTCATCAGGTTTAATGCTGATTTTCAAATGACTATGAGAGAAGGGGAGAAAAATGAAAAAAAAAAATCAATATATCATCAATGCAAACAAATATTATATCAAAATACAAATAAATAACTATAAGTAGTAGGTACCATAGGCTTAAAATAGCAGTTAAGAAGGGTTGGATAAATTCAAAGATGATTAGTTTGTCAAGGGTTAACAAGGGAAGATATTCCAAAGCAGGGGCTCTATGGAGCTACAAGGGGCTGTCTCAGTACTATCAAGCCAGCCACTGCAACATGAGTTTGAGTCCCTGTGCCTCTGGCCTATACCCCAGTTATTATATGTATCAATAAATAAAAATAAATTTTAAATAAAGATATTCTAAAGCACATCCCAGATTTTTTTCTGCAAAAATAAAACCAGAGTCTCTGGCAAGCAAAAAGTCAATATCAAAATAATGTTTCTAGTGGTACTGCTGTAGACAGAATTTGGACTGAATTTTTTATATGACATATTGGTATGACCTATAGCAATCACTCAATAGTGGTTCCCATCCCACCTGGTGCTATGGATTAAAGCATAGCACTATGAAGCTATCCGCAGTCATTGCTGCACAAGTTCGACCACCAGGAAGCTGACCCACATGGTACAGCAGACCTCTTCTGGCCCACACGCTGCTCCCCTAAGCAGTCTATTTTAGTACATCTGCCTGTTCTGTTTCCCACTCTGTCTCTAGTGAATCTGCTCACCCCTGCAACTCTGGCCTGTACCCCAGTTCTTATATGCATAAATAAATAAAACTTTTTAAAAATAGTGGTTCCCTTGCTTCTACTATACAGGAAGTCCAGTCTTTAAAACAATTAATGCCATACTCCTCCTTTCCCATTTTCTAAAATCTCTTAGTAGCATCTACTGAAGAGTAACATCAGTAACCTTTACACTAGCAATCAAATTCCTTGGTAAATACCCACAGAAATGCAAACAAAATGAAGCATGGTTAGCCATGATAAGCAGTCAGGGACCTTAGTAACAACCTAATATGAATCTTGCTTCATGCTCAACCATATACCACCATGAGGCAGTATCGCCTTAGGGGATTCCAAGACCTCTGGGCCTGAAGAGTCCCATAACTACTGACCTGTCCCTCATCCTTTACTCACCCCTTGGTATGTAGCCACATCACATCTGACATGTTTAGCTGCCAATGCAAACCCAACCAGAAACTTCTAGAAATGGAAAGTGTATATAAGCCCCTGACTCCCTGCAGATAGGGCTCAGCTTTGGGATAAGAATCCACTGAGTCAGCTCCAGTGCATTAAACCTGCTTCTTGTTCACCCTGGTGTCCATGTTTGTGCCATATAACAATATGTTTTACTAAAGGATAAGTGTACTACTATTTGCCATGTAACAATTTCTTTACTGAAGGATAAGTGTACTACTATTCATAGTAGCCAAAAATTTAGAAGTAAATAAAATATTTATCAATAGGAGAAAACAATTTTTACAAATTTGCTCTAGTCTTACAAGAAAATCACACAGCAAAAACATGGATAAAGGCAAAACTAATCCTTGTTGACACAAGCTATGCAACTTCTATTGACTGACAAATTCCGGATAGAAAAGTAAAAGCTCTGAAAAATCAGAATTTCAACTGCTAACTTATGTTATGACCTCCCTTTTTTGTATAATCATAATATCAAAATATTCTGAGCAACCATCAGTTTACAACTGTATTGCCATAGTCTCATAAAGCAGCTGCCTGGCCCAGGCAAGCTACCCCAGGGTGGGAAATTCCTCTGTCTCCGGAGACAAAAGACAAGTCCCAGGACAAAGAAGACTCTAGGGCATAAAAACTCCTGGAAAGCTTCCTTGGTTTCTTTAAAATAAAAAGCAAATCTCTAATAAGACTTCCAGGGCATAAGGACTCCTGGACAATTTTTAACCTTGTTTATACAGGTGTTGCATAATACACAACTGTACAATTTTCAATTAATTTACTCCTTTTTAAAACAAACAGTAACTACTCTCTGCTAGCCTTAAATTAGCCATTAGCTTTTCTTTAGACAATCACTGATAACACTGCTAACGCAATTTACTACTTCCCTAAAACCCCTAATAACCTTTTGCTAACCATCTCATCCTTTCCCAGACCCCTCTTCCCTTGAGTTATAGCTAAACATCTGTATATATGACAATTATCACAAAATGTATAATTTAGTATACCATAAAACGTTAAGAAAAAAATGCTTTGTTCCCCTTCTCCTTGAAAACATTTATGACAATTTAATGGCCATCTCTCATTAACTTACTCTATGCATTATTACAATTAACTACTTGTTATACAGTATAAATAAAGACCTGCTGAGGGAATGAGCAGGAAGACTTGCACCCAACTTTGACTCCTGTGTCTTCCTCAAGCCTGCTCCCTTCTCCTCTTCTGGAATCTCCATTTGATGCCTTCCCACCTTAGGGCCCTGCCTGTCTTGCCTCCTGACACCTCAATAGTTGGGGCTGGTCCCCAACACCTTGTCATGCATTCACAGACAAAAATTAGTTGGGGAGGGAGGGCCCTCCCTGGTGGCACAGCAGGTTAAAGCACAGCACTAAGAAGCTAAAGCCACTTCAGCATGAATTTGATCCCCGCCCAAGATGATACTACCCCCAGCAGTGTACTTGTCAGTCTGCCTGTTCTGCTCCCCACTCTGTCTCTGGTGAATCCTCTCACCACCCCTGCACCTCTGGCCTGTACCCCAGTTCTGCATGCATAAATAAATACATCTTTTAAAAAAATTAGTTGGGGAGAAGGGAGGATATAAATATGAATGGACATTTTATTTCAATGTTAAAAACAAAAACCCTTATTCCAGTGTAAGAACTTCCTGGGTTCCCAGCATGGTTTCAGATCTATTTATAAAAATATTTCCCTAAACTACTTTAATTAGATTGTGTTCCTACTAACATCTACATTGCCTGCACACCAGTGAAGAAAGGTGAATAATTTTTTTTTTTAAGATTTATTTATTTATTCATACAGAACTGGGATACAGGCCAGAGATGCGGAGGGTGAGAAGATTCACCAGAGACAGACTGGGGAGCAGATCGATGAAGTACACTGCTGAGGGGAGCAGCGGGCAGGTCAGGAGAGGTCTGCCACGCCATGTGGTCACCTCTGTCTGGAGCAGGTGGGGATCGAACTCATGTGGTAGTGGCTTAAGCTTCTTAGTGCAGTGCTTTAACCCGCTGCGCTACCAGGGAGGGCCCGAAAGGTGAATAATTTTTAAGATGAACACCATTATTTTTATATAACATCTCCCCAACTAAATTTTTGATATAATTTCAAACTTTAGATGTATATTTTAAAATTAAAGTAAAAGACAAATAAGGGGCTCTCCCTCGCCAAAAATGCTGAAATTTAACCCTGTCATATTTATAAAGGAAAACAAACATTGCAGGTAAAGAGAAATCTCCTTTGCTGCTCCCAGCCCTGCTTTTACGTTTCTATTAAAACACTTATAGGTAAACATTTTAATTATGAAAAAAATGTGAAGTAACTAATGACTAAATAATCATGTATGTGGGCCAGAGTGATAGTTCATTTAGAACATATGAGAATTCCTTAGGAAGTTATATGTAAGTTTGTGTGAAATAAGGGAAGGATGAAGAAACAATAAGTATGCATGTGATCAGTCACCTGTTAATTTTTTCTTGAAGAAAAAGATGCACATTCTTTAACACACTAATAAGTTGCCACGTCAATAAAATGCCATTCTTGTTCCTCAGCTCAAATACCTTCTTTTCCCATAAAGACATATCACTTTATTATAACAAAAAATCATTTTTAACTATTCTTGTAGGAAAGGAAAGTGGTTTGGCTTTTATTCATTTCCTAAGAATCTAATCAACCTTACTGGCCTCATTTCCATTTCAAAATAAACCAAGCACAAATATTAAAATAGCATAAAGGGATATAAGTATTGTAACAACTAGTTACCCAATTCTGCTCTGAAGATTCCAACAACTTTAAACACAAACAAAATAAATACTGAGACTAGATTATAAAATGAAAGATTATATTGACATTTCTACTTAAATCTTACCTTAGCAGTAATTCTCTGAGTTTCACAAAAAAATCTTTATTTTGAAAATGTAGAAAAATCAATGCTCGAGTTATCTTCAGTAACTCTTTTGGTTTATAGTTATCCAAATGTTTCTGTAGAATTGAAGCAATTCTAAAAAAAAAAAAGATACAAGATGTATGTATTAAATATTCACTGATAAGCTCTTTCCTGTCAGATATTATGTCTATGCTGGAAAAATAGTAATAAATGAGACATGGTTTTCCACCCCTAAAATAGAAGATAGTAACAGAAATATAACTTAAAATAAAACATGGTAAGAACTAACAACAAAGCGTGAATAAAATAATAATGAATTATCAATAGTAAGAGAAAAAAAGTATATAGTTTTACTTCCTAAGTTGAAAAAACTCAGTCATCAAATTCTATCTCCATGGCCCCATGAAAATTTTGTTACCAAGAGTAATTAAAATTTGCAAAAACAATTTAATTTTCCTTCTTAAATCCACTGACCTAATGAAAATACTTAACAGCAATGGGAAATACTAAGAGGCAATTGCCTCTTAGGAAGTAGCCTCCTTAGGAAGTTGGAGGAAATGGGGCAAAAGAAATGTTTTAAAAGTAATATATGGGGCTTCCTTGTTGTTAAGTCTCAACACTATGAAACTATCCACTGCCACTGCAGCATGACTTTAATCCTGGCCAGAGAGGAGCCTCATATGGCACAGCAGACCTCTCCTGTCTCACCCACTGCTCCCCTCAGCAGTGTATTCCAGTCAGTCTTCTTGTTCTGCTCCCTATTCTGATTCTGGTGAATCTTATCACTGCTTCCCCTGCCTCTGGCATACACCCCAGTTCTTGTAAGCATAAACAAATAACACTTATTTTAAAAAGTAGTATATAATAGATAATGAAAACTAAGTATATAAAATCTGCACCACATATTTTTTTCTTTCTTAAATGTCAAGTTAACTAAAAGGTCAATATATGATCTATAGATCAATATATTACTCAAGTACTGAATGTGGTGTGAAACAATTCAAGTTCACACAGAAATTAACGATATTGCAGAAACTGTCTTTTTGAAAAATCAGGTCCTGTTCTTTCCACTTTACTAGATTATGGTGATCTATTTGAAAATATTAACAACAAAAGAAATGAAAAATGCTATAAATAACTTTAAAAATCTCTATTTTGAAAAATAAACTACTTAGAAAGTAAAAAAAATACTTTGTTAATTCCTTATTTCTTCAAAACCAACAGTTGGATTATAGGGGGGGAAACTTATTTTTCTCTCAAAAATATAGGTACTTATTAATTATAACTAAACTTAACACCATTAATGTCAGGAAAAACTACTTTTTAATCAGACGTGCATTTCTGCTTTCTATCTCTTCCATTGCTCCAATCACCGTGAGGGCTTGTTGGCTGGTCAGTTCTTCTGACATCAATAACAAAGTTGATTTGAGTCTAGAAGTAAACAAAGGTATTTTTATGTAAAAAAATCAGCTTATAAGAAAGCTATTTAAATGACATTCTTGGATCACAAATAGAAAAATAATATAAACTGAAGTTGATTCTAATTCTAATTCTCTCCCCCTATAATTGGGAATAAAATATTATTGAAGAAAAATATATTGTTTTTTAAAGTAATTAAAGCCTCAGTAAACTTAAACTGTCTCTTAAAAAATATAAAGAGAAAAAACAATATATACATATATATGTATATATATACATATATATGTGTGTGTATATATATGTACATATATACATATATATATATATATGTATAAAGAAGAGCAACCGGTTAAAGCATAGCACTACAAAGCTGGCAGCAGCAGCAGGCCAGAGAGGTGACCCACATGGTGCCACAGACCTCTCCTATCTTGCCCGCTGCTCCCCTCAGTATTTAGTCAGTCTGCCTGTTCTGCTCCTATGCTGTCTTTGGTGAATCCTCTCACCACCCCTGTACCACTAGCCTGTATCCTAGTTCTGTATAAATAAATAAATAAATATTTTTTTAAAGTATATATATATAAATTTTCTAATTGATTTTCAAATAGGATAAATTTATAATGTCCACCAAAAGATTCAGAGACATTATTTAGTACTTGAATTAAAGAACAATTAGTAGTCCCACAAAATCCAAATTTTTAAAAAGTGAATGTGACTAGGAAGTCAGTATGTGCACATATGAAAAGGAATCTAGTTTTTAAAGATTTATTTATGCATACAGAACTGGGGTACAGGTCAGAGGTACAGGGGTGGTGAGAGGATTCACCAGAGACCTTGTGTGGAGCAGAACAGGCCAACTGACAAAAAACACTGCTCAGAGGAGCAGTTGGTGGGTCAGGAGAGGCCTGCCTCCCCATGTGAGTCACCTCCAGGAGGGATTGAACTCATGCTGAAGTGGCTTTAGCTTCTTAATGCTGTGCTTTAACCTGCTGCACCACCAGGGAGGGCCCTAAAATGAAATTTTTTTAATGGTTCCTTTTTTAACCACCCACAGTGCTACAATAATAAAACTATCCAAATATAAATGTACCCTTTAGAATAATTTAGAATATAAACCCAAATCATGAAATTTAGTAACAGGACAAACTTTCTATTCACACTGAATAAGTTCACAATGTCCTTTTCATCAAACTTATTAAATATTTCAAATCCAGTTTCCCCCCAAAGATTTTCTTAACCACTTTAGTCCATATTTGTCTCTTAGTTTTCTATTTGCCTAAAGTACTACTATCTATCTAAATCACTAATTGAGCACCTACTATAAACAATACTGTAGTATCATGCTATTCACATATTTCAATTATATATTTTTATCTGCCTAAATAGAATATAAATTCTTTGAAGGCATGCACTCAGTTAAATTCAACTCTGTGTTGCTTTAGCGTTGAGATTTTAACAGTATTTAACAATCAAAAAAAGTTTCCAATAAAAGTTTTTTTAATAATCATTTCAGTAGTCTCTTAAAATGTGCCCTTAAATTTCTACATATAATTCAAATGACTCTAAAATAAAACTCTCCGTGAAGTTTTCACAAACAGTAAGGACAAAGATACCTCTAGAATGCAACACCTCGACCCATTGCTTAACTGAATCTAATCTCTTTGCTCATATAGTAACCATGTATTAATTTAGTATTTGCTTACCTTCATATTCCAAATATTTCTATCTACAGCATAAGAGCATTTACTAGTGTGCATAATAAATGCTTTGGATGATGAATGTGAAGAGTACAAAACATAACATGGTCCACTATTAGGAAACTACTATAATTTTGATTACTCCACAACCTATACTAAAGTTGGGGGATTCTTATGCCTGGAAGACCAGTCACACTGGTCTTAAAAAACACACTTAAATGGTCTTCCTGTTCATCTGCTTTTATGCTAGTCACCACCAGGGGATTATTGGTTCCCTCAAAACACAGAATAAACTAACAGTTTGATATGTAAATCAGAATAATCAGAGAAAGAGTCAAGGTACAGAGCATTAGAGATTATTTTTCCTTCCATGGTTGAATGATGAGATTTTTGTGACTTCCAGAACTACAAGGAGATTTAAGCTTGAAGTCTCCATGTATTTTCTGAAAGGAAAGGAAAGCATTTTTAGCTGAACTTACTTTTTTTTTTCTTCAGGTCCTGCCATGGGTGCCAATGCTACAAACAACTTTACAAAGCTGGCAGGTTGATCAATCAGAGGAATCATTTCAGTTAACCTCTTTTTAGCAACTGCAAAAAATTCAAAACTATGAAACTGTAGAGAATTATATAAACTAAGTATTTTACTGATGGATTCCAAATCAAGGTCATTTGCATTGCTTAAAAACACTTTATTGCACCTTTCTAATAGTGGATAATAACAATATTTAGTATTTCGAAGAAATTGTACTATTCTTCTTGCAATGTTGACATGGGAAGAATCTATGGTGTCCAAAAGAAGTTCTGTTTTGTTCACTAGTTGCTCTTGAAAATGCTGTGATATTAAAGAAGATATGTTGACCATCAAAACAGACAAAGATCTGAAAAGGAAAAAAGATGCAAATATTTCAAATCCAGCTTCTCCCCAGTTTTTCATAACCACTTTACTCCACATTTTTCTCTCAGTTTTCTATCTGCCCAGAGCATTACTATTATTAAAGAATAAAGAACAATTCTAAGATCAAATGATTAGATAAAGAAAGAAACCAGTAAAAGGTTTCATTATCACAAAAATTTTCTTTTAAATATTAGAGGGACTTGAACATCCTAGTAATTGAATCTCTTCAGACAAAGAAACATTGAACACTATTTTTTATTGAGTGTATATAACACCTTATTCTAAAGATAGCTACTTTGGAGGAAAATATTTTAGTGAAATTAAATCACTTGGCACCAACAAAAACAGAAATAATGCAAAATTAAAAGTCTCATTTTTGTAAACAGACTTTGACTTGTTATTCTGATTTCAAGTTTTATAATCTTTCATATTAGATTAATTTGAATAATACAACAGTAAGATAATATTGAACATGAAATGGTATTCAATAAGTTTTCTCTCAATAAATACTTTTAAAGAATATAAATCACTCTTCCAGATATTATGGAAGACACTGAACCTACCAGGTGAAGACATGTTTTCAAAATACAGTTTTACATATTATAAAATTCAGAAAACTACAAATATAAGAATGTACATATAATGAATAAGTTATGCAAAATGGAAATGATATATAACAAGCACTTGGAGATAAAAATTAGAAAATAATCCATGAAAAAGATACAAAAATATAAATCTAAAACTTTATCAGCCATTAAGATAGTATGGCTGTTTGCATTCCTTTGTTTCCAAATCTCTTCAATCTGTTCAATGAAATATGTATTCTTTAAAAATCTAGTTTTGTATAGGACTACAGATTATCTAACCAAAATTTTTAAGATTAATAGTAATCAATATTAATTAGAAACCTACTATTTCTATTCAGTTTAGCTGCAAAACTCCTTAAATCCTTTTTTAAAATTATGTATATATTTTAATTACATTTTGGAGAGGGGATATTTACAGTGATTTAAATAGATTCTCAAAATGGCATGCCTGTAAGAATTTTCAAGTTTTAAAAAATTACTTTATAGCAATTTTTCATGCATTTGTGAAAATATACATAATTTAAAATTTACCATTAAAAATTTTTAAATGTTTGTTAAGTACGAGTTCAGAGGTATTAAGTACATTTATACTATTGTGAAATCATCACAATCCACCTGCAAAACTTCTTTTCATCTCCTCAAACTAAAATTCCTTACCTACTCAACCAGACCTCCTCATTCTCCCTACCCTTAATCCATTACAATAAACAATCTACTTAGTTTGCAAAGAATTTGCCTACTCTAGGTACTTTATGTAAATGGAATCATGCAATACAGTCCTCTTGTGTATGGTTTATTTCACAGAGCATAATGTTTACAAGATTCACCCATGCTGTAATATTTGCTTCCTCTTTAAGGCTGAATAATATTCCATTGTAAGAATATACATTTAGATTGTCTATTCATCTACTTATGGATATTTAAATTTATTCCACCTTTTAGGTATGGTAACTAATGCTTCTATGAACATAAGTTTATTTTATGGATTGAATTGTGTACCCACAATTCATATATTAAAGGTCTAGCGACTAATGTTAACAGGACCTTTAGGGAAGTAATTAAAGTTAACTACTAATTTGTTAAGTTTCAAGTAAGGTAAATCTCAAAACTTTCACAGATCCCTAAAAATTTTACTATACTTTATAAATTTTATCTCAACTTCATACAACATTGTCAAGTAGAAACAACTATCTATGTTTTATAGATGAGTATATCAAAGATCCAAGAGATTAAAGTCACCCAGCCAGGAAGTGGCAAACCTAATGTCTGTGTATTTAAAACTCAGAATATATCCACCAAAAACACAAGGTCTCTAAATAAATTTACCTTAAATCCTGTGTGGTTTCCAAGTTCTTATTTACAGTATCAGCTATTTTCCCCATTAATGGACTAAAATATAGTTGTTGGTCTGCTAGGCAAGAGGAAAATTTTGACAGCACACTGATTTCAAATCTATTAAGAGGAATATACAAAATATCATTATTATTTACTTTCACTTAAGACACATAATGCATAGCTATAACATAAAAAGTAAATCAAAAAGCAAGCAATCAAAACCACTAATATATTACTAATATAAAATAAGTTTTTCTAAACATTTATTATTTACTATTATAAAAGGAGCATGTGCTAACTATTAAAATCAGATACCATGGGAAGAGTTTACATCACTCAAAATTACTTAAATCACTTATTTAATAATTTTTTGAGATGACAAAACCATATCAGATCAAGGTTGCATATTAACAAATGAAACAACCACTATTACAACCATGCTGTAATAAACACCAGAATCTTTCTGTGGAAATTATGACCCAATTTCTTCAACAAGTAAATGGCAAGACAAAAGATTAAGAGTAATATAAATATTCCCATTCACTCACTACCCCTCAGAATAAACTATCATATCATTTCATCTGTAAACAACTTATACTATGCATTTATTTGTATGCATTTTTGAGACAAATACTCTTTTAAAAATATATAATCACAATGCCATTATAATAGTTACAGAATTCCTTAATGTCATCTAATAGCTGATTTGTTCAGTTCCTTCAGTACTTCATAAAGGTCTTTCCTTTTTTTAAAGATTTATTTATTTATGCATACAAGAACTGAGGTACAAGCCATAAAAAAATACTCACAAGAAATATAACATGAGCAAATTTCACATTTTTCTAGATGATAACTGATTATAGGAACATGCCAAAAATATAACTGTGAATATCATAGGAAATATTGATGGATCTGAATTGATACCATTTATAGAAGTGGACTAGAGGGTTTTTAAGTCACCTAGGAGCTCCCTGTTCACTGTCTCTCCATAAAGATGGAGGGAGAGACAGTGAACAGGGAGCTCCTAGGTGACTTAAAAACCCTCTAGTCCACAAATGCTACTAAACACAGTTATAAAGCCATCCTTTGCACTAAACTAGTGTCTTCTTTTTTGCTTCTTTCATGGCTACTGAACTTTTAGGTTTATATTGCCAGCCTATCACTCAGAGAAGCTCTTCTTTCTGAAACAGAACTCTTTCAGAAAAAATATTCAAGAAATCTAGTCCACAAACAACTATGCTTCTACATTATTAATATTTTGATAAATTATCTATACACTGTGAGTGATAATTGTATACTATTTGAATAATATTTATTAAATACATATAAATATATATAAGTATAGTTATATATAAAGTACGTAATGTCTCCCATTCTTAATTTAAAGATGTAACATTTGAAATACTGTTCTTTTCCTCTTAAAGAAAAAGACAAATATCATTCTGAAAGATTTTACTGTGCTATATAAGAAGCAGACTTACCCAATAAAAAGCCCTCAAACAAAATTAAGTTTAAATACATTTTGTTCAAGTAAGCTTGATAGTAAGCACCAACCCTCCATTCTTTCCTTGTAAGGTTTCACTATGCTAACCCTAAAAAGGGTAGCTTTTGTCTTAGATGACGAACCCAAATACTTGCCTTTCCAGTCTTCTCCATGCTTCTATAACTAGGGCCTCAACGAATGGGTCATGGGCCTCAACAGCAAATCTCAATAAAAACAACACAATATTTTCCATACATAAACACTCTTAAATCATCAAAAACACATGCAGTAAGAATTATACTGTAGAAGGGAGCCTCAAATTATATTTTTACACAATCGTTATTTCTGGTCCAGTTCCCATTTCAATGTTCTGATTTCTTAGCTACAACCAATAAACATCTATGCTTTATCCCATCTCCCTCTCATCCTTTTATTTGCTTGTTTCAATGCACTAAGTGGTGAAAATATTCAAAGATGTAATTTATGATAAAAGTACATGTAACACATGTAGTGTTATTCTGATTAGGAAAAAAAAGAATTTGCAAAGAATAGCTCTTTTTCACAGAAGTAATAGGGAAAGGATGTGAGCGCACTCCCTCACTACCACAAAATTATGAAGTTGAGTTTCCCACATTTGAGGAAATCACAGGGATCAGCCCATCTAAAGTCCAAAAAATACCTTGCCCAGGAAAACCATATCTTCCCTGACAAATTAAGTATTATAAAAAAACTTGTATAGTGGAAAGCATGTAAAGAATAACTAAGGGAAAATTTTATATATATAAAGATTCTTGTGCACGGATTTTCATCCCAGCATTGTTTATAATGTGAAAAACTAATTCTAACAATAGGTGAATATATAAATGATTCTATAAAATGAAATAGTACTTGATTATTCAAAATTAACTTTTCTTTCATTTTTTAAAAAAGATTTAAGTGCTGGAGTTACAAAATGATGTAAAAATAAACTATTATATTATATATAAAAAAAATTTAAGTGCTGGGGTATAGACCAAAGGTGTGGGAAGGGGAGTGAGCAGGTTCACCAGAGACAGAGTGGGGAACAGAACAGGCAGATCAATTAGAGTATGCAGCTGAGGGGAGCAGCTGAAACTTAACTCCTTGTGCCACCTTGGAGGCCCTATGAGCACATTTTAAAGCAAATGCTCACAATATAATGTTAACTTAGGGAAACAAGTAGCATATAAAACTGCAAGAAATATATTTCATATGTGTATAAAAAATAACAGCAAAGTACTTCAAATAAAAGAATGTGGTTGTTTAAGAGTAGTAATTATAAATTGATTTCTTTTATTCTCAATTTTACGTTCATTGGATAATCTTTAAACCAAAATTATTGAGTGCAAGGGCATTTTTATCACCAGCAGTCTATAAGACTTCTTGTTCCTGTATACCTTAACTGATAAGCAATAGATACATCATATATACTATGTATTATGTGTATAAAAATAATCTCATTTTTAAAACCAGTTTCAACATCTTTAGAATGTTAGGGCTATTATCTCACCTAAAAGTCATACTTTCTGGTTAAATTATGAGGTAAACTTAGTTAAACACTGCAATAAAATTTGAAAACAAATTTATATTCTACTCTTGAAATTTCTTCTTTATTAAAATATGACTTAAGAGAAACAGAAATGCAGTTTTTAATCAACAGTCCAATCATCACCAAAAAGCATTTTTCACTCTGTACCTGACCAATATCAGTCTTATAAGATGTTCAACACAACATGCTGTGATTAAGTTTGGAAAATGTCCCAGCTAGAGAGGCACAAAGTAAATTAACATCTTAAAGGTTCTGAAAAATTATGCAAAAATTGATAAATTTTGTCTGATTCAGCATTTTCCTAACATGACCTCTGAGAAAGTGGTCATTATTAGCATAATGTATGTCCTTCATGTACCAGAAAAAAAGCTTTGCAAGCCAAGAAAGATCACCAAAAAAGGAAGTTGCTCTTGATTAATTTAACACCAACCTCCCAAATAAGTCTTAACTTTCCTCTAAATGCTGATTCCCTAATAAAAACTGTAACTCCTTAGCATAATGCTGACACCTATAGCTTCTTAAATGATCCTCACAGGTAAGATAGTCATGAGAAAATTGGTTTTCCACCAACAAAACTAACAAACATATTCTAACTTTGGGATTCTTTTTTATCTTTATACCCACTGAATTCTTTATTGAGGTAATCTAGATATTCTGAAGGCTAGATTCCCTTGAAAAAATATAGAGTACCTTTTTCTAGTTTTCCCCAGCTTTACTGACAGTGTTACTGACATTATTGTATTTGGTAGACAAATACAAACTGCATGTATTTAGGCTCTAAATGTGTTAAAATGCATAAATATTGTGAAATAGTCACAATTAATGATTATCACAGTCAAGCTAATTAATGTTCCCATTATTACTTCATAGTAATACTTTTGGATTTGTAGTGGGAAGAATACTTGAAATTACTCTCTGAACAAATTTCAGATATGCAATATATTAACTATAGTCACAACGTTATACATCAGGACTCCAGAACTTGTTCATCTAATAACTGAAGTATTTGACCAGCATCTCTATTCTCCCAGCACTTTAGCTCCTGGTAGCCACCATTCTACTCTGTTAATTTGAGCTCATCTTTTTTATTTTTAGACTCCACATATAAGTAAGATCATGCAGTATTCACCTGTATATGATTTTTTTCACTTAGCATAATGTTCTTCACATGCATCCTATTTATCTGTTGCAAATGGCAGCAATTCCTTCTTTTTTAAAGTTAACTAGTATATATATATGTAACATATATACATATAAGTATGTATATACAATGTAACATACATATACAATGTAATAAAATATTACATATACAATGTAATATAATATAAACAAAATACACACACACCCCACAGTTCTTTAACCATTTGTCTGTCAACAGCTTTTTAGTTTTGTTCCATAGTTTGGCTACTATAAAAATTGCTACAATGAATATGAGATTGCAGGTATCTCAGAAAATTTTATTGTCTTTGGATATATACCTAGAAATGGGATTGCTAGGTCATACAGTTGTTCTATTTTTATTTTTTAGGGACTCTCACACTTTTTCCATAATGACTATACCAATCTATTGTACATTAGCACAAACAATGAACAAGGGCTTCCTGTTCTCTACATCATCACCAACACTTGCTATTTCTTGTCCTTTTGGTAGTAAGTCATTCTAGCAGGAAGGACTTTTCATTGTATTTTTATTTTCATTTCCCTATGAATCTTTTTTTATACCTGCTGATCATGTATGTTTTCTTTGGGGAAGGGGGAGGAATCAGACCCTATGTCTATTTTTCTTTTTTTTTTTTTTTTAAGATTTATTTATTTACTCATACAGAACTGGGGTACAGGCCAGAGATGCGGTGGGTGAGAGGATTCACCAGAGACAGGGTGGGGAGCAGAACAGGCAGATCAATGAAGTACACTGCTGAGGAGAGCAGCGGGTCAGGAGAGGTCTACCACGCCATGTGGATCTCCTCCCCTCCGGGGCAGGCGGGGATCAAACTCATGTGGAAATGGCTTAAGCTTCTTAGTGCGGTGCTTTAACCCACTGCGCCACCAGGGAGGGTCCCCTATGTCTATTTTTCAATCAGGCTATTTGGTTTTCTACTGAGCTGCAGAAGTTTTATATATAAACACAGAAACAACTAATTGTTTGTTGTTATTAGACATTAATTTGAAGAAGTCTAATTGCTTAATTTGAACTCTAATTGAATCTTCATCATCTTTGGTCAATCATATTTTTAAAAGATTCTATAATTACACATAAGTTAATAATTTTTCTACTTTCATAATAAAATTTGAGTTTTTTAAACTGTAATTCTATTAAAAGAATATCACCCAAACATCTTCAAATATTACCAGGAAAAATATTCATGAGAAAAAAAAACACATTGCTTTTCGTTTAAAGAGATTTTTAGAAAATTAAAATATCAAAATAATTTTTAATCAGTTACATAAATCCTTAAAGGATATTACTTACTGTTGTGTGATGTACAACACATTCACCAGGGTCTCATCATTCATGTGCTCTATTTTCTTAGTAGTTACATTTTGAAGAGTAAGGAATTGGGGATGGTCTTTGATATATTTAACGTTTTTTAACAGACTTGTATTCTGCTTTTTAAATTCCCAAAGTATATTAAATGCATAGCCCACTTGCTTTTCTGAAAGTATGCTTTTGTTTTTTTCAATAAGATCAAATACTTGCTCTTCATCTGTACACTTATTCATCTGACTTATTAATGGTTCACAACTGAAGGGTCGAAATTGAAATACTCTCCAAGAGAATCGACAAAAAGCTCTTAAGTTAATCATATTTGTAAACAATGAGTGTAAGGAAAAGGTATTTTTTCATTTACATTACAAATTTTCTTAAGTTTAAAAAAATATTTACAACTAGTAATCAGGTGCAATATGCTGGTATAATAAAAATAACTCTTTCATTCATGAAAGATTCCATTATGATGAATCCAAATTCCATTCCAATATGTCATTTCTGTAAAAGAATTGGTTTAAAATAAGTATGCTTATTAATGTTAATTCCAAAATTCAAATTAAAGTAACAAGTTTTTTTGTGCACTAACTACAGACTTTGTTGTTAGTCTGAAACAGATAGTAGAATTTATTATAAAACTACATATCCAGGAAAAGGAAATTCCTTCTGTATTCCATTAAAGAAAATTTTCAAAGTCTACATTTCATAGAGTTTTAAATTTGACTATAAAGGCAGAAAAGGGGGAAAAGGACCTCAACACAAAACTTTTTAAATAAAAGAGTAATGATTATTATAAATAGATAAATCACCATTAACGTTTTAAAGAGTAGCCATTAAATTAAAGCCATACATTTTTTTTCTAGAAAAAATGGTCTCTGGTATATTTGCTTTTAGGATTTCTTGCTTTTTTTCCTCCTTTATTCTTTTATCATTTTTCTCCTGTATTCTTTAAATAACTCAAACAGTTTAGACATTACTGACACAAAATATAAAAGAACCAAAGATAATTATCAAAGAGAATAATTTATTTCAACTATATATTTAAAATTTTTATATTTCTAGTTGAGAAACAATGACTTCAAAAGCATATCATTTAACATGTCTGCAATATTTTATAAAGGAGTGTAAAAAATATTATCCTATTAAATTCTGTCAGCTAACAACAGGCTTATGCCATTCATTTGCATTTTACAGATAAAAAAGGTGTAGTTCAAAAAAGATAAAAGTACTCTTGAACTAGTAAAGCTGGGTCAACCATGAAGTTCTTTTGACTCGTTCAACTTAAACGGCTTTGGAATATCAGCAAAGCAATATGTATCAGACTGCTCTCTAATGATAGGCTAAGCTCATTGCAACAAAAAGATGATGAAAATATATTGGCTACTTTTTGGCAGTCAGCACATATTCTTGACCCAAGTGGACTTGGGACACACACATACACCAAAACTCTGCAAATACCAAATGTATGTTCAAGATCCTGTTTACCAGCAACTGACAGGGCCCAGTTCAAGAGTTAGAATGCAGAGATAACAAGTCAGAGATAATAACTGCACCAGTTCTGCTACAATTAACTGACTTTGGGAAAGTCATTAAATCAAAGGAAAGCCTTAGAACTAGTGAGCTGAGCCTCAACTGTGAAGCAGTTTCGCTGCAAGTTAAAAACAGCGACACCTTTTCCAAGTGACAGGCATCCTTTACTCCAAGCCCAGAGAAGACCTGGGCAAATGAATGAAAGTGATCTCGCTGATCACAGCTGCAAAGTGGTTCGACCCTTCCCGCGTCCTTCGCGCTCCGGAAAATCCAATACCGGGAAAGAGGCCTCTGTTTCTTAAACTAACCCTACATCCCGGACCCGAAAATATGCGAAGTGAAAAGAGTAAACCTACAGTCGCTAGCTGGTCTTTCAGGTTAAGTTTTGACCTCAACGCCCAGTAACTTTTCTGAGGATTCCGGAAGAAACAGGTAACCATGGCCCAGTAACTTTTCTGAGGATTCCGGAAGAAACAGGTAACCATGGCTCAGAAGTCAAGGCTATTTCTGTCCCCAACAAAGATCGCAACAGACTTGGTTGTTTCGCGCACTCCTCCCTCACACCCCAGAGTTTTTTAACCTTTCCTTCAGAGACATCACCTTTCTTCTGGTGGTGTCAATCTCCAAAACGGGAAAATGCCGGACCAGCACAGCGTGCACCCCGGAGGTCAGCACTACATATCCCAGAGTACAGCGCGGAAGAGGAGGGCTGCGGAAAAGACGCCCTGACGCTTTTGGGAGGAATGCCGGGCATTGTAGTTCTTCAGTGTGAGACCTCTAGCGCAGCACGTATTAAACTTTTCAAGAACTTAGGTCAGTGTTTTACAGCTACCTAAAGTTTTCTTTGAGTCCAAAGAACACAGAAATTTTAGTACTGTGCAATAGAAGCGAATATTTAGGAAAATGAAATTAGAAAACAATCAGAAAAGAAACGCACAAATTTGTTTTCATATATGAAATCACTCCCAAATGGCAATAAAAGTAAATTCTTACTTTCTATTTCTGTACTCGTTTTATAGTAGATAAACATTTTCATTAATAAATTATATGCACACAATTCAATTAACTTTTTTACAGTGTAAAACTAATGGCTCTTTAAATATATATATATCCTTGATTGTGAAACCACCACAATCAATTTCAGAGTGTTTTTATATCTCCAAAAAGAAATTTCCAAAAGAGATAACCAGTTACTTCTCTCTCCAACATTCCAGCAACCACTAATGGAAGACCAAAGTAGCACCCATTTAGTTATTTGCAACTAAATCAACTGATAATAGATTTGAAGACTGAGGTTAATCTGGATGCAAAGAATAAAAGGATTTTTTGAATCAGTGTGAGGAAAAAGCATAGAAATGACACTGATCATGACCTGTGTCAATGCCTCCAGTCAAGGATAGCCAGGAACACACTTATAGCTAAACAAAGTTAGGTTTATTTTTGTCAGTGAAGCAGGACACACTCCAAGTCCTGTGAATTTATTATTCAGCCTTGTGTTAAATAAGTTTGGGGAGATTTAAGAAGGGCTCATCTCTAGATTGGTTGCTATGAGGAAGCAAAGTAATTCCATGATGGTTTTCTTAATAAGCTTTCTTTAGATAGGCAGGAGGAACAGAGTGAGGTTAAAGATGTAATCCATAAAGAAGCAACAGTCACTCATATTAGCCAGAGTAGGTAGTGTAGTCATTTACCTATAGATCCTGTCAACGTTTTATTATTCTGTCTTTATCCTTTTTGTTTTCCTGCCATTTTGTACCTTTTCTTATACTTCTATGGATAATACTTCATAATCATTATCTTTGTTCTTTTTGTCATTAATGCTTGAAAGGTGAGGCAGCCTAAAATAATAAGAACCCCAAAATGGTGATGGAAAAGGGGATAGCCAGAAGAGACAAACCTTAAAACATTATAAATGACCTTACTTCTGCTTCTCTGGGCTAAGGATGGTGCTCATGGTATAGTTTCATGAGATTTAAGCCACACATAGATTTGAAAGAGATGGGGGAAAGGACCTTGTTGATTTTGTTCTAGTGAGCACTGTAAGGACCTCCACCCTGCTTGGCTGAGTATATCCCTTTGTTACAAGGCAGGGAGAGGGACATGGCTGACCCCCCAACATGCCTGCTCTAAATAGGTTCTGCCATCCACTACTTCAAGACAAAACATATGGAAATTTTGTGTGTGTGTGTGTGTCAGTAATTTTTTTTATTATTTATAACAGTTTATTTTTACATCATTTTGTACATTTTTTTTCATCTCGATTGTAATCCCCACCGTTTCCCATCACCAAGTCACCCGCGTGCCATCACCATAATCCCGTGCACTTCCCTCCCCACCCCACCCCCCTTTTTGATCCCATTCCCCACTCCACCCCCACAAAATGTCTCTGGTATATAGCTGTTGATTATTCTTGTTATTTTCTCGCCTGGTCCATTATACTCCTGCTATGAGTGAAACCATCCGGTATTTTTCTTTCTCTTTCTGGCTTATCTCACTAAGCATGATCTTTTCCAG